CTCACAGAGAGAGGTTTTTGAATCAGAGTGGGCACTGCAGGGGCTCATGTCGCATGTGATGGCCAGTGCCATGGACCCTTCTCCCAGTTTGGAAACTGAGTGAAGGAAATTAGTTTTATGTAAAAGGAAACTGGATTTGGGGAAATTAGTCTTGTGTAAAAATAACAAGTTAGCCTTCAGCAAGCAATAGGCTTATAATCTTCTTATAAGGCCCATGATGCCAGGTTAGATCATTCATGGTTTGGGGAGGTCCAGCCAAGCCATCAAGGAGACAGATTCCTGGATTCAGACATCAAAGTACTGCTGAAATGGGGAGCGCCACCACACCACCACTGTTCTTTTCCCTATGCACAGACCTCCACAAAGGATCTGCATTACCCAGAGAGCAGAGCCATCTTCCCACATGGAATGTGTGCCTACTGAGGATCTGTGGATACGATCCTCACCACCCATGCCATGTCTCTAGGCCAGAATTCACCCAGCAAAGGAGTACATAGGCCAAATTCTGGCTTCAGACATTGGAAGATTATCTATTGACATTTGTATTTGGTAGGGCATGAAAGAGGTTGCTTTTTTTCTCTCACAAGGAAACCAAGCCAAGAGAACAGATGCAGTGGATCAAGTCCCCATTCAGAGGCTCTGAGTCGTTCTGTTAGTATTGGATAACCCTGGGAGCTGTGTCAGGGTTTCATTCATCTCTTCATTTATTCAGCACCTATGACACACATTCTCTGGGCTAGGCACTGTGCTAGCTGTTGAAAATACAATAATGAAAGACAGTTTCTTCAGCTTCTACTCTCATGTAAGAGATGGGAATAAAACAAGTAATTACAATCAGCTATAGTGGAGATGTGTATAAAATAAGATGCTGTTTGGTACCTACTTAGCAAGGGTGATTCTTCTGTCAGCAAATGAGCCCAGTTCTCCATAGTGGGCATTGCTGAAGTCTGAGTAACGCTATTAAAGACAAACAAACAAAAACTATAGAGCCATGGTTAAGAGCATGGACTCTGCAGTGAGTTTGAATATTTGAGTTTGAATTCCAACTCTGCCACTTACTGATTACGGGATCTTGGCCAAGTTGTTTAACTTCCTTGTACCTCTTCTGTAAAATGGGAATAACTGTTGTTGTTATTACTATTATGTTTACCTCATAGGATTGTAGTGAAGATTAAGTGAGAGGGCCAGGATTACACGCCTGTAATCCCAGCACTTTGGGAGGCCAAGGCAGGTGGATCAGGAGTTCGAGACCAGCCTGGCCAACATGGCAAAACTCCATCTCTACTAAAAATACAAATATTAGCCAGGCATGGTGGTGGGCACCTGTAATCCCAGCTACTTGGGAGGCTGAGGTAGGAGAATCACTTGAACCCAGGAGGTAGACGTTGTAGTGAGCCGAGATCATGCCATTGCGCTCTAGCCTGGGAGATAAGAGCAAAACTCCATCTCAAATAAACTTTTAAAAAGATTAAATGAGAGAATGTGTATAAATGCTTACCTGTTATGGCATAGGTGCTCCATACTGTAAATGTTAGTGGAAGGAAGGAAGAAAGGAAGGAAGGAAAGGAGGGAGGGAGGGAAAGAAGGAAAAAGAGAGAAAGAGAAAGGAATGCCTCTGTATGTAGGAACTAGGAAAAAAATGTTCAAGTCTCCTGAATAAGAGAGAAGTAACCTTACACAGCCACTGCCATCTTCTCCATGGTTTCTAAGCCTTTTATTGTGAATTGGGAGGATTCGATTCTAATTCCAGGTCTTTCATTAGCTGGTAATATGCCCTTGCTCAGTCTCTGGGCTTCCATTCCTCATTTGTAAAAGGAAAGGGGCAAACTCCCTTCTACAGTATTTTCACTTTTAACGTTTTATGGCTCTGTTCAAAAATGCACACAGACTTTTGGAGGTGTGGATATGCTTATGGCATTGATTATGGTGAAGACTTCACAAATATACAACTAATCAAGTGGTACATATTAAATATGTCCAGCTTTTTGTATGTCAGTCATGCCTTAATAAAGTGTTTTTTAAATGCAGCCCAAAATATAAACAGTTAGGTATATTAATAATTTTACAAATCAGTTAACAAAATACATTGCTGCAACAGTTTCTAAGCAATGTTCTATCACTGATAAATGTCCTATGTGGTGCTCAAAATGATGACAGTATCAGCTGTCCTCAGTCCTGTCAAATATCTTTGTGATACTGTTAACAGCACAGCAACCACACTGAGGCTGTAGCAATGCCAAGGTTGAAGGGGTCAAATTTCCAAACCCACGATTATTTTGAAAAATTTCCCCAAGCCCAAGACACTCAGAAGAAGAACTTAGATCTATTCACTTTCCAAAAAGTGGATCTCTCTGATTAATTCATCCTTGTCCTATCAACCTTCCTTACTCATTCATATATATACTAAATATTTCCCATATGCCAGACACTGGCTAAGTGTCTACTTTTATCCTAAGCGTCTACTTAGGATAAAAACAAATGATTCCTTCCCTCGAGCTGTGTATTGTCTTTTAAAGGAGATATATGAAGACATTATCAAATAAATGCAATAAAATGCTGTTAGTTTTGTGACCAAAGTCTGCATAGGGAACACTGGGGTGCCAAGGAGGAAGTGGTCACTTCTCTCCCATGCCTACATGGTTCTCTGCACACTATTGGTGTCTCATATGTGTTGGATGAACGAATTAACCAGCAAATAGCTTGGAGTAGAAGATCTGAGTAGGAGGAATAGTAGGAAGGGACAGAAACCTACCTGCCCCTAGCCATGCTATGAGACAAACAAACCAGCTAAATTAAAGGAAATAGGAATGGGGTTATATATCCCTGCAAACAACCCCTGGAAGCTAGCATATCTAACAGATATACCCTGAAGCTGGTACTCTCTTATTTTAATTTTTTTAAGTTAAATAAATGAGTCAAGGTCTCACTATGTTACCCAGGTTGGTCTCAAACACCTGGGCTCAAGTGATTCTCCCCTCTCAGCCTCCCAAAGTGCTTGGGTTACAGGCATGAACCACCACTCCCTGCCTGGTACTGTTTCAGACGTGAGCCACCACTCCCAGCCCAGTACTCTCTCCCTTTCTGATTTAACTCTTAGAAAATCCCAAGGCTAGATTTCCTAGCCAAAACAAGTTGAGCAGGATAGGAGCAAAGGGAAGGCTTTCTCCCAGCCATAGCAGAAGAGCTGAATCCCTGCCTACCCACATCATTATATAGAAGGAAAAAAGTCAGGCCGGGTGCAGTGACTCACGCCTGTAATCCCAGCACTTTGGGAGGCCGAGGCAGGTGAATCACGAGGTCAAGAGATCGAGACCATCCTGGTCAACATGGTGAAACCCTGTCTCTACTAAAAATACAAAAAATTAGCTGGGCATGGTGGCGCGTGCCTGTAATCCCAGCTACTCAGGAGGCTGAGGCAGGAGAATTGCCTGAACCCAGGAGGTGGAGGCTGCGGTGAGCCGAGATCGTGCCATTGCACTCCAGCCTGGGTGACAAGAGCAAAACTCCATCTCAAAAAAAAGGAAAAAAGTCATTGTGCTGACTTCCAGAGAGTTGGACAAGAATGACCCAAACCTCTCCAATCTTCATATGATCAAAGGCCACACTGTGTCTTGCTGCATGTAGGCTTATCTCACTCTGCAGTTTAGGAACTGATGCACACAAAGGAAGATAAAATTATAGACTTCTCTGTCTGATGGCTCACAGACTTCACCAGACACAAAGAGTGCTGGATGAGAATATGTGGGTAAAGCAACAAAACCAGTCCAACGCAGGTAGAAGAACCCCCAGATATGTGCCCAGTCAAGGAGGGTAAGGACTGACAGCTTCCTTTGAGATGTAGTGCATTCCTTCATTTATATTTTGGCATGAGATGCTAAAATGCAAGGAGGAGTGGAATTGCTGTCAAATTTACTAATGGGATCCATCTTCGTAACCCAGATCTTCAGAAAACTTCTTGCAGCATAATAATTCAACTCTCTTCAGAACTTTGCTTCATTTCTGCTCTCCTGAGGAAGCAAGCAAAGAAAAGTAGTCATTTCCCACTCAGCCCTCTCTCTGTTTGATGCACTGAGAGCCCCTCCCTGGTTAACTTCAGGTTTTTCCCCTCAGCAATGGGAAAGCCCCAAACGTTAGCGGATGTTAACAGGCAGACCCCAGTTACTGTCACCCAACAATCTCCTTCTGCTGACCAGTGGCTCCAAACTGGGTTCAGTCTATGCTCTTGACTTTTCCCACACTCCCTGCTTCCAGTCAAAGAAAATGCAGCAGAGCCTGTTTTCCAGTGTAAGCAAGTAAATTCCAAACTTATCCACTTCAGGCTTTTGCAGCTCCTGGCTTGAGCCCTGCTCGGGAGATAGACAGACACAGACAATAGAATTTGTTTTGAAAATCTGCCCTTCGAGTTAAAAAGATGGTGTCACTAATTCTTGTCTGGAGGACCTGTAATTTGAATGTTTCTCCAGGACTAGAGAGAGAAGTCACGAAGACCCAGAACACTTCTTTATCAGTGTGCCTTGGTAATCAGACCGAGAGCTTTTGCTAATGCTAGTTAATTCTATTTGGCTCAACAAACATTTGTTGAATGCCTACTAAATGCCAGGCACTATGACAGGTGCTGGCAATTATTGCTAACAGCCTGTGCTAGTGAAGTATTTGGCCAGGGTTAGAGATGCTGTTAGGTGGCCTGAGGCGGGGGGAGAAGGACTGAAGGGAGAACTGAACTCATCATGATAGCTTATCCTCTTTCAGATAGCTTTTTACACTACCTCAGGTGAGAAACACAATCAGCAGCACAAAGGGGTCATATCTCAAGACAACATATTTGCATTGAGTTAGCTACTTTGTCTCTGCTTCTGAATCATGGCAGACCTTGGCATCTGGAGTCAAAAGAGCTGAGCTCAGATTCCAACCTCTCCATTCAGCTGTGTGAGCATGGGCAAGTCATTTGACCCCTGAGCCTTGGTTTCCAGTGATATGAATTTGAAATAAAAATACTTGTCCTACTCTAGTTTCTCTTCAGATTGTATAAATCTTTCACCTTTTACTAAAGATTTCCATGGAGAGGAACAACTGTGTCTTAAACCAATTTTTTGAGGCTTGCTTTTTAGCAGGGATTATATTTAAAAACAAACAAACAAACAAACAAACAAAACTTTCCCTGTCTGGATCATTTGAGGTCAGGAGTTTGAGACCAGTCTGGCCAACATGGTGAAACCCTATCTCTACTAAAAATACAAAAAATTAGCCGGGCATGGTGGCAGGTGCCTGTAATCCCAGCTACTTAGGAGGCTGAGGCAGGAGAATCACTTGAACCCAGGAGGGTGGAAGTTGCAGTGAGCTGAGATCACACCACTGCACTCTAGCCTGGGTGACAGAGCAAGACTCTACCTAAAAACAAAACAACAACAACAACAAAAAAAAAAACTTGCCCTGTCGACTTCATAGGTAGAAGAATCAGGTGAGATAATCTAACATGGCCCAGTGCTTCCTGAACTTTAATGTACGTATGAATCACAGAGGGATGTTGTTAAATTGCAGACTGTGAGTCAGTAATTCTGTGTGAGTCTGAGATTCTGCACCTCTTTGGTTTGTTTGTTTTTTGAGATGAAGTTTCATTATGTTGCCCAGGCTGGAGTGCAGGGGTGCGATCACAGTTCATTGCAGCCTCGACCTCCTGAGCTCAAGCAATCTGCCTGCCTCAGCCTCCTGAGTAGCTGGGACTACAGGCCTGTGCCACCACATCCAGCTAATTTTTTAAAATTAATTTTCGTAGAGATGAAGTCTTGCTATGTTGCCCAGGCTGGTCTTGAATTCCTGGACTCAAGTGATACTCCCCGCTCATCTTCCCAAAGTGCTGGGATTACAGGCATGAGCCACCAAGCCTGGTGTGCATGTCTAACAAGCTCCCAGGTGATGCTGCTGAGGATAGCCTAGGGATCACGCTTTGAGTAGCAAGCTGTGGACTGTTCACTGGTCATATGGGAAGGATGGTGACACTGATGATGACCACCAGCTAAGCAAACCTCTAAAACTCATTCAGAATTCAACAGAAGCCCATGAAGTGACCAGAGCTATGTTAAACGGCCACTATGTGGTCAGCAGAAGAAATTTATGTCATGGTCTTTACTTATGTAGGTAAAACCATTAGAGAGTAGTACCAATCCATCCAAACCCAGCAGTTAGGTCAAAAAAAATGATAAATCTTCGGAATTTTCCTATCTCTTTCAATTAAAAACATTTGCCCTGGATGTAAAACATTGAGATAAAGATCAGACGGGCTTTGATCCTGCCACATCATATCCATCCCACTGCAATTGTCTCCTGCCACATTCTCTTGGAATCTTAAAACTGTTAGAACAGATATGCTTGAGGGTGGAGACTGCATATCCTCCCCAGTCCTGGGCCTTCTCCAAGTGTTTGAAGATACTTTTGAGGTCACTTCAACCTGCTTCTGGGCACTGAAACGGCTTCCTCTTTCTCAAACGTCTTCAGAACAGGTTTCTTTACTTCGGTAATATAATGACCACTTACACCCATAGGAATATTAATTAGTTAACATTTGTACACCTCTTATGAGCTCATGGGATTATCTTACCCATGTGCAACCTAGAAGAAATGAGCTTAAATCTGTTTGTCCCAGTGGCCTGCAAAGAGATGATCCATTTCTTAGAGGCTGCATAGCCAGGCCTCCAAGCACCAAGACAAAGCAGAATTTTAAGGCAATTATTGAGATAAACGGGAGGGGGAAATACTATAATGAAACATCCCTGGATGGGAGGCAGGACACTCAGATTTTGGTCTTATCTTTGCCATTGTCCCGCTGATCTGGGAAGGGGCTCGCCACTAAGTAGAATTTGCCTGCTTGTAATGTACATATCTCTTGTGTGGATGGAAAGAATGTGTGAGTCAAAGGCAATATGAAGTGAAGAAGAGAAGTAAAACACAAGAAAGTAAATAAAACACATCGTTTTTTAAGTTAACATGCCCTAGTGGTTTTTATGTGTGTTTTTCAGACAGTTGTGTTTCCTGCTTGTCATTGGTCCTGGAGACTTGGTTTCAGCTGGAGTTAAGAGGAATCAAAGTTCTAATCAGAGTTCCCTGGAGTCTCTGCTCCCTCCAGAACTTCCCTGGAGAGCAGCCAGCACTGGGATCTCAGCTTCTGCTCCAAGCCCATGGCTGATGCAAAGAGCAGTCTTTCCTGGAGAAGGAGGGCGGGGAGGAGTAAGTGGCGACAGTTTATCTGAAGCTGGCGCTGGGTTCATTAAGAGACCTGGTGCAGTTTATCTGCTTCTTGTCCACAGAGTCAGCTGCTCTGAACACTGAGTCCAGGGCCTGTCACCATCCCAGCCCTGGCGGCGTCAGGTTGGAAGGGTGTAAAACAGAGTGTCCTCTCCCTTCCCCCACCTCAATCTCCCCTTGTCTCCAGCTATCTGTCCTCAAGGGGTCAGATAGGAGCTGCAATTGAAGGAAAGAAGCTTGAAGCCCTTCTGTCAATGCTTTCTTTGCTGCAGACAGTGAGGTCCTTTGAATTGATTTGACTGCTCCCAGAAAGAATCAGCCTAAAACTCAGTGGAGGAGGTGGAGAGAAGAGACACGAACTTACCTTTATCAAAGCCACCTTGCCTTGAATGTAGATGACATATATTTTAAGTGCTGCCATTTGTCCTTGTCCATGTCACATTCTCATGATGGGGAATGGGATGAACTTCTGTATTTCAGAAGGGGAGGCCCAGGGATGTTAAGACTTTTTCTTAATATCCCACAGCAACTCAGTGAAAGCATTCAGAATAGAATACACACCTCCTGAGTCCTGGACCAGTCTTTCCTAAGCCCTGAGGTGAGGGCTTCAATCCTTCTTCATGTCGTTCTCATTATCACAACCATTTAAAAATGAAGATATTCCAAAATTAAAAAAATAAAAATGAAGATGTTCCAGACCCCTCCATGGGATAGTCAGATGGCCAGGATGTATCACACTGTGGCATCTGTGCTCTCTTGCCTGGTTCTCCAGGATCATCAGCACAACAGGTGTGTCTCCCTGAGCTTAAAGGCCCAGCCTGTGAACAGGGGAAATATCCATTCTCTGGCCAAGCCCAGTAGTCCTTCAGTTTCCGGGCAAGTCAGTGACTTGTCCAAACAACTCAAGACACCTGTCTCAGGAGGGAGGAGGCAACTTCCTTGAGTACTAGTGCATTATTCAGCTGTTTGGAGTAGACTCCAAAAACTGAGATGATCAACTTCCTACTCTATTGGAAGAGTACCACCACCATATCTACTATTGGAATTGATTTCTAAAGGATTATTGACTTTTCCCACGAAGGTGGGAGGCAGCAAGTGGATTTATCCAAGTAAAGAAGAAACGATTCTCAGTGCCGCTCCCAGCCACAGCCTCCCGCGCGCCTCGCTCAGCTCCAACATAGCAAAAATCTCCAGCCCTACAGAGACTGAGCGGTGCATCGAGTCCCTGATTGCTGTTTTCCAGAAGTATGCTGGAAAAAATGGTTATAACTACACTTTCTCAAAGACGGAGTTCCTGAGCTTCATGAATACAGAACTGGCTGCCTTCACAAAGAACCAGAAGGACCCTGGTGTCCTTGACTGCATGATGAAGAAACTGGACACCAACAGTGATGGGCAGCTAGATTTCTCAGAATTTCTTAATCTGATTGGTGGCCTAGCTATGGCTTGCCATGACTCCTTCCTCAAGGCTGTCCCTTCCCAGAAGCGGACCTGAGGACCCCTTAGGCCTGGCCTTCAAATCCACCCCATTTCCTTCCAGCCTTTCTGTCATCATCTCCACAGCCCAGACATTACCCCTTGAGCCCAGCACACCAGCCACCTCATGCAGGCCCCAAGATAGTAATAAAACAATGTCAGTTTTTTAAAACACACACACACAAAAGAAATGGTTGTTTAATGAAAATCTGCCTCTTCAAAACCCCCAAAGCAATCAGCCCCAAACCCCCAAAGCCCATCTCCAAATTCAGCTTCTCTGAGGGTCCAATTCATACCTATCCCTTGCTGTCTGCTTGATCCGTGACCCCCTAGAATTGCTGCCTCACTCCAGGTTCAAGCACCCAGGATGCCACCAAGAAAAGCCAGGCACCAGTATTACTAAGAGATCTCACACTAGTCTTTAAGCCCCTGCAGCCCTCTTTTCCCCCAGGAGAGAAAGCAGCCACAGTGTGTGCCTACAATGGAGGGTAGAGCTGTGGATGAGGGAGAGTCCACAGTTTGGCCAGGAGGCAGCTGGACTCAGAGCCTTCACTGGCAAAGACCTAGGAAGAATGAGGCTGTGAAGGGGGTCACTGTGCCACTTCTTGAGTTTCTTGGCTGAAAGTGTTTGGTTTTGGTTTATTTTGTAGAAACGAGGTCTCACTATGCTGCCCAGGCTGATCTAGAACTCCTGACTCAAGCAGTCCTCCTACCTTGGCCTCCCAAAGTGCTGGGATTACAGGCATGAGCCACCATGCCCAGTGTGGCTGGACATGTGGAAAACATTTATTGTTGCTAACTCAACAAGGACATTGTAGAAGAAACTGAGGAGGCCTCTTTCAGAGGGCAGTGGTTCCTTGCCTCAAATTCACAATTGCTTGCCTCTCCAGGGGTAGAAACAGGAATGGATGTGTCAGGATCCTGGACCTCTGCAAGCAGCAGGGTTTGATGTTGTGAAACTGCACAAGGAAAGGCCTAGGGACAGGCTGACACTTGGTCCACTGAGCAACTCTAAACTCAAACCAGAGTTCACAGAACTCTGTACCCTCAGACTCGGCTACTCATGGTATGTCTCTCTACTAGAGCACAGTTGTTAAGGGCTTGGGGCCCTGGAGTCAAGCTATTCCACATTTACATCTCAGCTCTTCATCTTACAAGCTGTATACTTAATCCCTCTAAGCCTCTATTTCCTCATCTGTTAAACTGGATATAATAAAAGTATTTATCTCTTGGGATTAAATGAGATCAAGTTCTTAACACAAAGCTTGGGTGCATGGTAAGCACCCCATAAATGTTATTATCATGAACTTTATCTTTAGAGGCTTTTAGGGAGGGGGCTTCCCCACTCTGCACTTCCAAGTGCATCCTTCTAGAATGCTACGTCTGTCCCAGTGGGCCT